ATTTTACTGTAAAATACCATTAAATTTACAGTTTTTTTTTGTTGTATAACTCATTGTATAATTTACAGTGAAAAAACGTAAATTGACATTCCCAATATTCCCTGTGTGACACTTCACATTTGATGTATTTTTGTTGAAATAACCGTTTCCTCTTTTTTTTCTAATCAGTTTTGCACTTTAGGGTTCTACGTTACATTTAATGTTGTTAAATTTGCATTTTTAAAAAAAAAAAATTCATGTGTTACCATGATGGTGTTTGACACTGTGCAGCTTCTTTATATAAGTATTAAAGGAGTAGTTCACTTTTGAAAAAACTTTTGCTGATAATTTACTCACCCCCATGTCATTCAAGATGTTCATGTCTTTCTTTCTTCAGTCAAAGAGAAATTAAGGTTTTTGATGAAAAAAATCCAGCATTTTCTCCATATAATGGACTTTACTGGTAACCAAACGGTTCAAGGTCCAAAAGACACTTTCAGTACAAACTGTTCAAAGGGCTTTAAACGATTCCAGATGACGAATAAGGGTCTTATCAAGTGAAACGATCACTCATTTAATAAATAAACAACAAAGTTTAAGTTTTATAAGCTCGCCTTGCTCTGTTCTGTGACGCACGTTAGTGACTCTCCTGTTCGAACTATGTCATCAAAATGAACAAATCCTTTTCCGAGTCATTTGGTTCATTCAACGAACGAAACGAACGAATTGATTCTGAAAAAGATTTGTTCATTTTGATGAACAAGTTCGAATAGGAGAGTCATGAACGTGCATCGCAGTACAGAACAAGGTTAAACTTTATTTATTTATTAAATGAGTGATCGTTTTGCTCGATAAGACCCTTATTCATCGTCTGGAATTGTTTAAAGCCCTTTGAACAGTTTGCACTGAAACTGTCTTTTGGACCTTGAACCGTTTGGTTCCCACTGAAGTGCATTATATGGAGAAAAATGCTGGAATGTTTTCATTAAAAACCTTAATTTCTTTTCGACTGAAGAAAGAATGACATGGACATCTTGGATGGCATGGGGTGAGTAAATTATCAGCAAAAGGAAAAGCTATACTTGTGATGAGCTTTGATAAATCATGTGATCCTCATCACTGCTGTGATGATTGTTGGTTGTCAGTGTATTAAAATGGTACAAAACAGACATCAATAGTTCAGTAAGTTAAGTTGGTAAATTAATATTATATCAGATAATGAAATGGTTTATTGTTGTAAATTTTAAGTTCAGACTGTAAAACCAATAAGTTTGCTACCTTATTTTTGATGGTAAAGTTCTGTCAATCACAGCTGCCGTTTTTTTACCGTAAAAATTGCGTTGTTTTTATTTTTTACAGTGTAGGTCAAAATAAAAGGTCGGGGAGTCTTAAAGGGATGATTAATCTCAAAATAAAAATGTTTCAATCACTTGAATCAAGCACTTTAAAGAAAAGATCACAGGACTTGCACACCATCAGTAAGTCGTTATTTATCACTTTAATATAGATTTTAAATATACCACAAAATAAAAAGTGTCATTTAAAAAGTCTTTAGGTTGACATAACTATCCTTGGGGTTTGAAAATGACAATGTGGCTCGCTTGTGATGAACTTCAACAGATTGTGGCTTCCTGAACACTTCCTGAAATTCCTTTTCAAACGCCAATCCCCCTAAAAGCCTGATGAATTTTCTAGAAACTGACACAGAGGCCCATTCAGATGGAAAACATGGACAGTTGCACTGACCCTTAGAGAGAATGAGCTCAGGTCAGCTAAGGCCAAGGGGACGTGGACCCTGTGGTGGAGTTGCAGGACACTGTGAGATATCTCAACCTTCTCCTCAAAAGCAGTCATATAATCTCTTCCTCACATTTCTGTCACATTCTGAACCCAGCTTAGTCATTGTAGCCTACATGCCAGTTATCTTCTTGATAGGTCTTGCTGCGCTAGAAGCCAGTAGCAATATCCAGTGTATGAATGGGTCATCATTTAAACCTTCCTACCACGCTGCTGAGGTTCGGGAATGTGCACATGAAAACAGAAGGAGGGAGGTGCCACATCTACGCCGGTGGTTTGAGAGATCATTATATGACATGAAGAAGTAAAACCTTCAGAGGTGAGAGCCAGGTCAACTAACACATGAGTGACCGAAGAATTGGAGGGAGAAAAAAAAAACCTCATCCGTGATAATAAATATAAGTATGTTGCTTTTTTTTGCCTTCCCGTGTGATCGTGGTTTCGGAGGATCTCAGCGCTGCACATTTTTGGATGTGTCCTTTATTGAAAACACCTGACTATATCACCTGCATATTATCTGACCTGAATTGGGTGTGTTAGATTAGGGAGACATCCAACATGTTCAGTGTCGGGGTCCACAAAGAAAACGAATGAAAACCACTGCTCTGTGAGGCAAAGTAAAATACAAAGCATGTAAGCTATGCAAAAACACACATGGACATGTCATTGAGGTAGGTGCGGTGCTAGTCCAGGGCTGATCTGAAAGCAAAGATTCCAGATGACAGCCCTGAAAATGGAAATCACTGCACAAAAAAATGAAATCCAAAGCCTTCAGTGGAATCTGATATTTGGAATAATTTGAATAAATCGAGTTCAGCTCACATGTGGAAGTCATGCTTCTCTGAAATGTAGCTACACTATAAAATAAGTATGTGATCAATAAGTTATGACAACAACATATATTTTTACATTGCTTTAACTCATCAAAATATGTTAAGTAATTTTCAACTTAAATACAAGATCAAACTTTTTTTTTTTTTTAAAGTCAGTTTATTGAAGCTGAAATGACTTAAACATCCAAGTTGATTGTAATTGAAAATTTAAGGCACTTAAGGCACTATTTATTTACAATAGGTTATAGTATATGAAGTGAATCAAACAGCAAGAAGAAAACAAATTTCTTCTTTTTTGAGAAGTGTGTTTAATGTTAATTAATGTTAACGTTCAACCCCAAGAACTAAAACAGCTTTAAAGTGGAGACGACTTTCACTTTAACCAGAACGATATCTTTCACTATTTACGCTGTTGAAAACATCCCAAAAAAAAAAACTTTGACAGTTTCCCTTTTTTATCTCAAAATAAATTATCACTCTAAATAAATAAAAAACGACCAACCAAACCATGTTTGTTTTCAAGAATAAGTTCAACAGGCTGTGAGAACAGAATGACAGGTAGCTTACATTGCCTCTCAGACCACACCTGATGACACCCGGCTAGTAGAAGTTTCAATTACACACCAGCCGTCTAATGTTTATTGCCTAAGGGGACATATTACAGAGGTCTGATCCAAACCCGTTGACAATCTATAACTCGATCAATTCAAACGCAGCCGATATGTCAAGAAGTTGAAGTTTTGCGCGTTACCGTGCGTATGGAGTGCTTGAGCGCGAGCGTGCCAAATCCTTCCAGCCTCGCGCTTCCCGTAGGCAGCTTGTCTTCGCGAGTAAAATCCACACGCGCCTCTGTAAAGCAACTGACTTTCTCACGGGTATGTCCTCTTCTAAAAGCCAGAGAACAAACTCTTCAAAGGAGAGGAAGACGGAGAGGCGCCTCCCTCCGTGGCCAAGCCTCTCTTCCCTCTCTCTCTTCATCTTGTGAGATGATCCTGAGAGGAATGAAAATCAAAGCTAATTTTCCACGGCTTAGCAGATAGTACTTAATAATTTAAATAATGTTAGTAAGAATAACCAGGGCTCGAATAACAGCTAATATTTCGTCGTCATTTATATAAATCTTTTAGTATTTGAGTCGACATTGGTTTCGTTAACCCATAGGCTATTTCTATCGATTCACGGCTAGTTTTCCTATTAATCTGTAGGCTATTAAAACATAATTTCCGTTTTTCCCGCATAAAGAAAATAGTGATAGTTTTAATATGAAATAGACTACTTTCCAAAAATCAAACTCCTTAACAAAAGTTCGAAACATTATTAACAACATTGATCAAGTTAAAAATTATAATAGGCTAATCGTAGGCTATAAAAGCCCCTAGAAACGCTGCTGTAGCCATTTGAATAGCCTAGACTTAATGTGATTTTATTCAGTTGTGATTCATGTTCCGTATACTCAGTCAGAAAGTGAATGTGAGAGAACATCCATCCTGCTTTCATTAACCTCCCCAGTCCTGAGATGAGAAACTTTATACAAACAAAGCTTATTTATGAAATAAAATGTAAATGTTAATCACTCTATTAGACATTTATAGCCTAAATGAAATCATGCACGGCACACTTTGTCAACAGCATGCTGCATTTATTAAGCTTTAGAGAATGATGACACAAATCACGAACTCAACTGTTCGTGTAGGCTAATCAATGCAGACTAGCCTATTTAATGTGTAATTTATCTAATTATTTTCTGGAGCAGTTTACACATTATTGTTAGTAGACTAGTTTGTAAATATGAAATGTGTGTGTAGGCTATATATGGCTATGGAATATTGTTCTGTAAAATGCTAAACGTCCAATAGCCTACCGCGCATCAAAATTCACTTATGTGCCTCACTTTTCATAACAGAAATATTTTAACATGCAAATTATGACAAATTTGTCCGGTGAAACATGTTATCAAAAAATAACACGCATTTCACCCGGTATGTCAAGTGAGGATCACGTCGACGCTTGCTCGGTGCCACAATTTATCCGATTATCTTTCTTTTTTTTTTCATTCTATTTTCATCCACTCATAGCTACTATGTTGAATGCAACACAGAGGATTATCATAAACGAATCGATTTATCAATAATAATAATAATAACCATAATAAAAAGTGAATAAAATAAATCGCCAGAAACTCATTTAAAACGTTTCTTCATCTCGTGTGAGATTATAACGCATAAGAATTCGCAACCCGTATCACGCGCAGGTAGCTTGGCTATTTTAATTAATACCGAGCACAAGTTGATTTTATAATGCACAAACGTACATAACATAAACTTAATCCTGATTAAAGAAGACATAGATAAATTACTTGAGAGAAATTCTCTCATCATTTAGCCTACTCACCCTCATGTGTCGTTACTTTCTTCTGCTGATCACAAAAGGAGATGTTAGGGAGAACGGCCACCTTACCTTATGGAAAAAAAACAAAAAACAAAAAAAACAATGAAACATACGTGAATGGTGACTGAGACGTCAGTCCCTCACATAAAGCCTAACATCAATTGTGAGTAAATGATGACAGAATGCAAATTTTGGGCTCAGGGTCAGTACAGACTACACAGTTTCATTCTGTCTAGGTCATTGAGTTCATGCACTCTAAAAAATGCTGGGTTGTTTTGACCCAATTTTGGGTAAAATATGGACAAACCCAGCCATTGGGTTAGATTTTTGAATTACATTTTTAACCCAATGGCTGGGTTTGTCCATATTTTACCCAAAATTGGGTTAAAACAACCCAGCACTTTTTAGAGTGTGTATAAACGAATTTTAAATGTTACATTTAAATGTCAGATATCCAGTATCCTGATTTTCACCATGTTCCGCATGCAGTCAACCTCAAGCTACTTATTTAAACAAAACAATGCTTCAAAGACCATGCACTGCTGCTTTTGACAGCTGATATGTCTGCATATAGATGAAAAACTCTCTGGCCCTTGCTCAGCAAAACCTGCCCTCTGCTCCCCAAATGTCCATCAGTGAAGTTCGCTCCACCCACAGACAAGGGCTAACTTTGGCACTCCTTCCACTACAAACACCAAGCTCAAAGCACAAAGACTGGCCAAACAGGGCCTTGTTCGCTTTAAGCCTTCACAAAACATTAAAACAAATTCTGGGAGGCTCTCCTGAGCTCTATTTATAGACCAAACCAACAATACACACAACTGGGCAAGGAATGGAGGAGAGTGAATCACCACTGGTCCGATCCACTAACAGTGGAAAGTTCAAGTTCAAAAAGATTGATTGGGAAATCTCTCATAGGGTTTCCCCTCAGGTAAACCTGCTTGAATCACAATGGATGGCAATTTGATTTAAACAGATAACATTGCTGATTATGTAGCCGTCATGATTTTCCGAAGTTCCTTTTCATGAGCACCACAGCATGTCCCACACAGGGTTTCACCAGGTGCACTCAAGGTATTTTCCAAGGTACATTCAAACATTCAGTTTTTCAAATGTCCTGAGGCGGTGCTCAGCTGCTATTTGATTTTTGCTCTTTATTATAGCACAAATGTTTAATACTTGCAATGTTTTAAAGAGCTGTTTACTGGCTAACAGCTGGAGCACACCAAATGTCACAATCTTGATGAAAGAAAACATAAAGTATATGTACAGACGCCTTCAGCGCATCAAAATGAACAACTTGGCATGAAAACGAATTCATTAAAGTAATATAGATAAAAATTCATAAAAAGTGCACACCTTCCTTGACACAACATGTGACTGTCTGCTTGAGTGATGAATGTGAATGCGCACTATTGTGTAGGGCTGAAGAACACGTCCTGTGTGTGCTCACGGCTAAGCCCATGAGCACATGAACAACAGATACAGGCACCCAGTAAACAAACCGCTCAAATACCATCAAGGGTGACTGAGCTATGACAAACACAACTAACACTTGTCATGCATCCCCTCCCAACAGCATCCAAGCTCTCGGCATGTCAGCCATGCAGTCTGTTTACCCTCACAGCTCCAGGTTCAGCACGATCATTACACCAGCATATTGGAAAGTAATACTTACTGAAAATCCTCAAAAACACTTGCAAACTATTATACTCTTACCTAAAGGATTATTAGGAACACCTGTTCAATTTCACATTCATGCAATTATCTAATCAACCAATCACATGGCAGTTGCTTCAATGCATTTAGGGGTGTGGTCATGACCGTCATGGTCAAGACAATCTCCTGAACTCCAAACTGAATGTCAGAATGGGAAAGAAAGGTGATTTAAGCAATTTTGAGCGTGGCATGGTGGTTGGTGCCAGACGGGCCGGTCTGAGTATTTCACAATCTGCTCAGTTACTGGGATTTTCACGCAAAACCATTTTAGGGTTTACAAGGAATGGTGTGAAAAGGGAAAAACATCCAGTATGCGGCAGTCCTGCGGGCGAAAATGCCTTGTTGATGCTAGAGGTCGGAGGAGAATGGGCCGACTGATTCAAGCTGATAGAAGAGCAACTTTGACTGAAATAACCACTCGTTACAACCGAGGTGTGCAACAAAGCATTTGTGAAGACACAACATGCACAACCTTGAGGCGGAAGACCCCACTGGGTACCACTCATCTCCACTACAAATAGGAAAAAGAGGCTACAATTTGCAAGAGCTCACCAAAACTGGACAGTTGAAGACTGGAAAAATGTTGCCTGGTCTTATGAGTCTCGATTTCTGTTGAGACATTCAGATGGTAGAGTCAGAATTTGGCGTAAACTGAATGAGAACATGGATCCATCATGCCTTGTTACCACTGCGCAGGGTGGTGGTGGTGGTGGTGTAATGGTTTGGGGGATGTTTTCTTGGCAGACTTTAGGCCCCTTAGTGCCAATTGGGCATCGTTTAAATGCCACGGCCTACCTGAGCATTGTTTCTGACCATGTCCATCCCTTTATGGACACCATGTACCCATTCTCTGATGGCTACTTCCAGGAGGATAATGGACCATGTCACAAAGCTCGAATCATTTCAAATTGGTTTCTTGAACATGAGTCATGACAATGAGTTCACTGATGGACACCACAGTCACCAGATCTCAACCCAATAGAGCATCTTTGGGATGTGGTGGAACAGGAGCTTCGTGCCCTGGATGTGCCTCCCACAAATCTCCATCAACTGCAAGATGCTATCCTATCAATATGGGCCAACATTTCTAAAGAATGCTTTCAGCACCTTGTTGAATCAATGCCACGCAGAATTAAGGCAGTTTTGAGGGCGAAAGGGGGTCAAACACACTATTAGTCTGTAGTTAATAATCCTTTAGGTGAGTGTACACTCACCTAAAGGATTATTAGGAACACCATACTGTGTTTGACACCCTTTCGTTTTCAGAACTGCCTTAATGGAACAAAGAAAACAAACAAAGTCCTTGAAAATGAAACCAAAACATGACAATGCTGTAAGATATACTCACATTATTAGTTATAAATGGGCTATATGCACGCATAAGTTCCGCATTTGACGCAAGGATGCTCGTCTATTTCCGGTTGTGTAGATTAAAGCGGAGGAAAACCGGAGAAAACGGGATTATGGCAGAGTCTTCAATATTTACTGTCCTCCCGTCTTTGAAACGAAACGTACATACGTTTAGATGTAATTTTATATACAGTTATGTTTATTTGATATAATTTTAAAAAGAAGCATAAACACAACGAGGGGTGTCTGTTTTATCTGTTTTTGTGACTAACGTTTCATTAGTATAACCATGGAGTATAAAATTCAATATAAATTCTCGCTATTACATTGGACTCTATGATCGGCGGAAGTTATCGAGCATCCCTAATGCTTCACCGGAAATAACGCCGTGCATAGAGCCCATTCTCAATTGTGAGATATCACTCCTAAAGGTCCTTTATTGGAATAAACGGTTCCATGAAGAACCTTTAACATCCATTGAACCTCTCCATTGCACAAAAAGTTCTTGTGGAACATTTTTATTTATTATGTACTTCACAATAATAAAAAAAAAAAATTTATTTTAAGAACTGTTCACTGAAAAATTGCTCTTCTATGACTTCGGTATGAAAAAACAAAAACAACACAATTAAGTCATAATACTGATGCATTGATATTGATATAACATTTTTTTTTTTTTTTTTTTAAAGCCAAGATAATTTAAGGCAATAATTTAACTTTTTTTTTTAGAAACACATTTTTAAAAAAAAATTACTTATTGGTTCAAGAAAAAAAAAATATTACAAAAACACGTAGAATGCTAAATGTACTTTCAATCAAAAGGAGAAATACCAACTTGTTTTGTATGTCTTCAACAGCTACTGTCAGGATGGACTGCTTCTTCCCTGGTCTTCAATTGTTTATGTACATCTGTGTTAAACCCTTTAAGTACTGTAAGAACATGCTGTACACAATTAGAGCTTATAAATGTCATGAAGAGAGTAAGTGGAAAACTATAGTTTGCAGCCACATCTAGAACAAAAACACAAAGCAAAACAAATGGAGCAGCACAGCAGCAGTGTCATGGGCCTTTCTTCATTTGACATTTTCTTACCATAAACCCCATCTATTTTCTTAACCACACATGATTATTCTAATTATGTTGTAAAAACAAGATCATTTTTCCTTCAGAAATTCACATAAAAAGTGAGAGAAAACATAAGCTAATCCGCCAGTTAACAAAATGCTTATTATCACATGCACACCTGGGTATCTTTAAGTTATTAAACCCTCCTTCGACATGAACCATCAGGGTTATGCCAAGATATCCCAAAAGTTATTTAGCTAATTCTCAAGAGTAGGGTATGGGGAATGTGGTTCCATATGTGTAGATCAGTTAAAAGGATTTCACAAGCGGCACGCTCGCTCAGATAAACTCATAACCTTCTCATTTTGGGACTACGCTAATAAATGACAGACTGAGAATTGAACAGACACCAAGATTGAACAATTTTCAATAAAAACTTACCAATAATATGAGAAGATTGTTAGAAGTAAAGTTTCTTTATAGGGCTCTGTCAGGTTCTTCATATATCCTTTAAGGGGTTCCCATCATTTTATGATTTAAAGAGCTTATAAACATACTTTATCACTAGAAAAAAGTTGTGTAACACTTTACTTGAAGGGGTGTGCACTGACATGAGACTTTCATAGTCATGACATGACACGTCATGAATACGAAGCAGGTTTATGACAACTGTCATTAAGTGTCATTCACTCAATTATGACCTTTTTTAATGCAAATATGACATTGTTTGAGATGTCTTTGTTATGACAACTTGACATAAACCAATACATCATAATATGTCAGTGTCTTGGTAATGACAACTTGACATTACCAAGACAACATAAATTGTCATAAATATGTCATAAACATGACAGCAGATTAATTATCAAACTTAAGAAACCACTTAGCTTCATGAGTTAACATTACATTAAACTGTCTTGTGGTTGGCTTTGACATTGGCTATCATGAGGCCATTATAACTGTGTCATGAATAGTTTTCTTTACCTCAACTACTAATTCAATTTTTCATTAAAACACTGTAAAAAGGAATGCGCTTTATCTATTCAAAAAAAAAAAATGTGGCAACAGATTACAAGTAATATTATTAATTTAATTTAACAATTGAGTAATAATCAAATAAATTCCTTAAAATTTAACCATTTAAAATGAGTAAAACATACACCCCCCCCCCCCCAAAAAAAAACCAAAACAAAACAAAACAAAAAAACATACATTTAAGTCACCATTATGGTGATCAGTGTTTGTTTTAGGTTTGTTTTAAAATGAAGGTTTTCTCCTTCAGTAATTCTGCCTGTTAACATCAGGTGTCTTTAATGTTGGCAATTTAAAATAAAGAGTAATTAATCTTTGACATCTGTCTGTTTTTCAGATTTTTTTTTTTTGATGTAAACTTTACTCATTTTAAATAGTTAACTTTTAAGGAATAACTTAATTAATTATTACTCAAATCTAATTTGTTCTATTTAATTAATAATATTGCTTGTAATCTGTTGCCACAATTTTATTGATTAGAAAAAGCATATTCATTTTTACAGTGTATAACCACAAACAGGTTATGATGTATTGGTTTATGTCAAGTTGTCATAACAAAGACATCTCGAACAATGTCAGATTTGCATTAGAAATGTCATAATTGAGAGAATGACACTTAATGACAGTTCTCACAGACATGCATAAAACCTCCTTCGTATTCATGACATGTGCCATGTCATGATTATGAAGGTGTCATGTTAGTAAGTTGAAATAACCTGTTGAACTTGAAAGTAGTATCATTTTAGACCTTAAATTTGACTCACAAACCTTGTTCTTTTGCACAATTTATTTCTAAGAGGGGCAGCAGAATAAGGTAAATGTGTGGCGTCGAACAACTCTACGATATAAAAAAAGACTTTTTGAAGTTGTAAATAAAGCAAAGATAATAAGAGTATTATTATTAGAGTATATGTTTTACAAGAAAACTATATTTCCAGATTTGTATTTTAATATTTCATGCTCAATGTGTTACTAGCAGTTTCGTTTTAATTATTTCCAAATTTCCAAGCAATTTTTGAGCGAAAATTGCTTGTACACCTTTTTTTTTTTTTTTTCCAGTGTAGATGCGACAAAAAGACGTAAGGAACTTTCTTTTGGAAGGTCTGGACTTCAACTACCAAAGGAAAGTGAATAAATATGGTGGTGTTTAGAAAGAGGTCACCATAACTCCATCTAGCATTCACTTGACTCTGAACACGTTCAGGTTGAGAGCTTCCAGACTGACATGCAATATGCACCAATCTCATGTGTCACGTCAAGCGAACAAACCACAGGTCAATGTAATCGCCCAACAGTGGGCTGTTCTGTGGTTGATGGACAATTTATGGGCAGTTTCTCTCACCTTTCTGAATTTATGAGGTATCAGCCAAAGAATTATAGGTTGGACTGCTTATCTACGGGGAAACGCAGCTGAATTTACATCTATCAGTGTAAAAGCACCGAATGATGCGAGTGAGTTCTCGGCTCCATTAGTAATGTGTGAGAGCTTGTATTGTATTCAAGATTTTTTGGGTGCAAAGGGACTGTTAAGTCATCTTAAAGGGAACTGCCAAAACACAGAGTGCAGTTTTTCTGTGCCAAAATGTTTAAGGTTATATCACTGGCCTGTATTTTCAGTGAAACTTTCATTACCGCAGTCACTTTAAAGGGCCCGAGTGTCACCCTATCAGAATACAGTTATAACATCAGCAGCTGTACAAGCCCAGCTGAGAGCACGTCCCACTGTCGGAGGTGTTCTTCTAGAGCCACACATATGAAATGAGATCCTAGTCAATGTTACACTTGAGCATTTAAAGAAATAGAGAAAAGGAGAGAATCAAATAAAGCAATGTTATCCCTCACTTTGCTTTCACACAGTCTCTCTCTGCTGGGGCGAGGGAAGGTCCTTGCTTTTCTCCCCGACTGAACTTATGTTCCAAGTTGTAAATGAAAACGTATTTGCTTAAAACCCCCATAAAACAACCTATTTGCATAAAATAACAAATGCAAATAATAATATTTAAAAGAAGAGCCAGAGGGGAAAAAACTTTAATGTAATTGGATTTAATGCCTTAAAGGAGTAGTTCACTTTTAAGAAAACTTTTGCTGATAATTTACTCACCCCCATGTCAACCAAGATGTCCATGTCTTTCTTTCTTCAGTCGAAAAGAAATCATTCCAGGATTTTTCTTCATATAATGCACTTCAATGGGAACCAAACTGTTCAATGTCCAAATGAGAGTTTCAGTGCAGCTTCAAAGGGTTTTAAACGATTACAGACGATGAATAAGGGTCTTATCTAGCGAAACGATCGCTCATTTAAAAAAAATAACAAAGTTTAAGTTTTAAAAGCTCAAATGCTCGCCTTGCTCTCTTGTACGTTCGTGACTCTCCTATTCGAACTCGTTCATCAAAATGAACAAATCTTTTTTGCGTCATTTGGTTCATTCAACGAACGAAATGAACAAGTTGACTCGGGAAAAGATTTGTTCATTTTGATGCCCGAGTTAGAACAGGAGAGTCACGAACGCACATCACACACTAACCCTAACAGAGCAAGTCGACCATTTGAGCTTATAAAACTTAAACTTTTTTTTTTTTTTTTTTAAATGAGCGATCATTTCGCTTGATAAGACCCTTATTCATCGCCTGGAATCGTTTAAAGCCCTTTGCAGTTTGCACTGAAACTTTCATTTGGACCTTGAACCGTTTGGTTCCCATTGAAGTCCATTATATGGAGAAAAATCCTGGAATGTTTTCATCCAAAACCTTAATTTCTTTTCAACTGAAGAAAGAATGACATGGACATCTTGGATGACATGGGGGTGAGTAAATGATCAGCAAAAGTTTTTTTAAAAGTGAACTACTCCTTTAAGTCGGGTGCACACTGTCCAGTTTATAATAGTCTTTCAGGATTGTTGCTTGTCAGACTGTACGAACATGATCCTCGCTGTAAGCCATGTCACACTACAAGATCTCTGTTGTCATAAATGTCAGACGGTACAGCAGTCAAGACACATTACAATGGACGCACGCAAGAAAACTCGTCCGGAGTTTTACATCATCAATCAATGACACGTTCGGTGACAGTGGGCAGCATTACACGAGGGATTGAAATTCTGAAGAAATCTCTGTTAGTTTTGGTCCAAAATCTAGCAGTAATCCAAATCACCATACATATTTTTTTTAAAAGAACAAAAATCACAAGCTCTTTCATGGTAGGATGGAAGTAATGAATCTTTAATGACTTAACTTGACACAATTTTTTTTCTCAGGTATCTTACATGACACAGATAGTATACCAATGAACAAGGGTTCTCTTCACCAGCTTCTTATTTTTGTTTTCAGTACTAAGCTTTGAAAACAAGACTGTAGGTTAGACAGCACTCTATATGTCCTGGTTGACCGGTGATTTGGCAGTGGTTTTGACAGCAGGTCATTCTGCAGGATGCTCTGTTGAGTCCTGGACATCTACTTCCCTCCCTGGAAAATCCCAATTCATCATCATAGGAAGGTCTATAATACAGTGATTAATCACTTCTGGATCACAGCAGTGATCAATCAGCATGACTCTATACATTGAACCTGACTGTGCTGATTCCATTACATATCCATATTTTTTTCCTCACAATATTATTTCTTTGCAATTTTTATATGTCTAAGTGTAAGTTCATTAAGTTCATTGATAAAAAAACTAAATAAGTGGAATTTTTAAAGGGATAGTTCACTTTGAAATTAATTTTTGGTATTTTTTAGCTTACCTCAAGGGCATCCAAGATGTAGGTGTCTTTATTTCCGCAGTAGTTTCAATTTTGATATTTTTAGGTCAAACCGTTGGTGTCAATCAGTCATATAATGGAGGTCTATGGGGTCCACCTCAAAGAGCATGCACAGAGAATGACTCATAAATTTAAAGTACACATTGACGGCCTAAGACACGAAACGAGCGGTTTGTGTGAGAAAACAAACAGTTTTTATATAGATTTTACCTAACCACAGCCACTTTCAAGTAATCTGAGGGTACAGGCGCTTCGTGGCTGTGGTTACAAGAGGTAAAAACGATATATAAATACTGTTCGTTTTCTCACACAAACCGCTCGTTTCGTGTCTTAGGCCATTAATGCGTACTTACATTTATGAGTCATTAAATCATGTTTAATTTGGACTTCTCTGTGCATGCTCTTTGAGGTGGACCCCATCACAACCCCTCTTACAAGCTGTAATTATGAACTCTACGAGGACATGGACACTTTTTAAAGGGGGAAATAAGGTAATTGCGTAACTACGACATGGCGTGAACACACCTAAACTCTGCAGGACGGTGAATTTGACACCACTGTAGGGTCATGTGGATGCTGGAGCCCATCCCAGTGTCTCGTATACCCTAGAGTAGACGGATGACCAGTTAATCACAGGGATAACAGCCTACTCTCACACTTCCACCTATGGGCAATTTGTGTCGAATGATGTTGTGTAAAGGGTTGTTTTTGGTTTTATAAGGTGATTTATTTGTAAGGCACACCAAATCTGGGTGATACTCCTATTTGACTTATTAACCTTTTCCTGATAATGAGCCATGTACAGTACCTTCAATTTGTGATTCAAATATTCTTCTTAGAGAAAGATAAAGATGAGACACAAAGGTCCAAAACTCAATTTAGGGCAAAAACTACCCAACACATTAATTTTATTACAACTTGAAGATATATTTATATTATATATATATATATAAAAGAAACAATAACACTTTAGTATTTCCTTCTAACTCCAAATGATCATTATTATAATGCTGATTGGTGGCATACTGCACAGTGTAAATGCACCATTCTACAAGAGCAAAGAACTCTTTAAAATGTCTTTCAATTAGGAGGTTGACATGACGACTCCTTCCTGTTGTGGGATCTTGATGAACTGAGAACCAGGTGTAGTGTAATATGATGAACTCTGATGGCCAGTGCAATGCTAGGTGTCCAGTAGCTGCTCTGAAAGCTCACAGCTCAAAATATAAAACCATAAAGCACTGAAACAGTAGGCCTACTCCTTAAAATAGCCACCCAAAAAGTACAAAACCAACTAAATCTCTTTTGTAAATATCTGTGACTTTTCTTATCTTGAAGTGCATTAAAAAAAAAGCCAATGGTTCTTCTTAGTGTATTGGTCTGAATTCAGGATGGCAGTGTACTATTACGTCAGGTGATTTAGAGGTCTGTCTGAACTAGGGATGCACCGTAACTCGTTGCTTTAGTACCATCGTTGAAGACATCAACTAGCTGGTCATGAGTTCAACCACGTTGGTTAATGATGTCACGCAGGTGGTGGAGTAATAACTCATTTTAATGAATCTGTATGAGATCGAATTAATGCTAGATTACGGACATGGCATTTGAGGACTAGCTCTTATTTTTCTCAGTTATTTAGCGTTATTTCCAGATTCAATCATAGGCTTGTTCTCACTAGCGCATGTTCTCACTCTTCAAAAGCGGTGCTTAAAATCTCAACAAGCTAAAAGACGTACAGTAAATGACATTTGTATGTATTCTAAATAAAAGCCAAAGAGATTGTACTGAGTATCAGATTGCTTATTAGGCTCAAAATAATGATATATGAAGTCCAAGTCTTGCAAGCAAGACACTCTGCTTCTAACCACAGGTCGAGCTGTCGTTCCAACCAAACAAACTTGCGAAGCTGTTTGCGAATGATCGTGGAAGTATTGTTTCGGGAAACACAGACTTGAACTACGCTGATAAAGACCATGCTTTTGGGAAACACACCCCTGGATTGTATCAGCAAAGACAGACATTTTTTTGTCAGATCAGATATAGATCCGAATCCGATATTGTACGTACCATGGTTGTTTCTGTTTGGACAAAAACAAAGTTTCCACAGATCACCACACGGGTCTGTGTTGAAACGCTGCTGTCAATCAAAAACCGTGGGTGGAGCATCCGACTGCGTGACGTCACACAGTCGAACGGCTCGATTTGAGGCAGGGAAAAACATATACAGTACGAAGATTAAAACAAAAACTTGAAAAAGCGCATGTACCATTATATGACCCCTTTAACAATGTAGCTTAGTCTTTACTGCCTCCTTTGATCAATATCATGAATCCTTGTTGAATATTTTTTTTTTCTTACAGATCCCAAACTTTTGAATAATAGCATAGAATATGTATGCATGTATCTGTTTTTTGTTTAATTATACTGAAGTTGTGTTTTTATGAAGCTAGTGAGGAATCCCAATAAGGAATAACAATTCAAGTTTTGTAATTAAATAGGAAAAAATATGGTATCTGTGCATCCCTAATAAGTACTCAGTCTCCCACCTCAAGTAAACTGTAGTGTGTATTTATAACAACACGTTATTTTGTAAATGTGGCTTACATAAAAGAAAGGGGAAAAAAAGCCTTCATCTATTCACCAAAATAAATAACTTAGATATTGAGCTCCTTTCCTCAACAAAAGAAGCTGTAATATAATGCGCTCACATTCAGGAGATAATGAGCCTCCTGTGCTCAGAAGAAGGGCTGAATCAAAGACCTGCCTCTGCCCTTCCACACACTGTGGCAGGATACGCAGGAGTGCCCCGGACGGAGAATCACGTGTGAAGGCAGGGGCCGTAGCATTGAAATGCACTGTAAAAAAAATCTTTGATATTTACACCGTTAATACATTCAGGCAGGAGAGGAGGGGCGTCTCCTCTGTTAGAGGTACATTTGGCACAATCAGATAATGTTTCGACTCGCTCCTCAAGCACATTGTGTTGGTCCCCTCAAAGTCTCCACTCCAAATCTGTACTCCAACAAGGATTGACTTCTGAGATATTGAAGAACCCTTCAACGTTCCACTCAGAGGAAGCCTGTCGGTAAGAAGGCACGTGTGCAATCGCTCCCACCTCGGAAATTACGCTCTTCAGTGTTGTCTGGTCCAGGGTTTCCGCTTTCAAGTTCTCCAAGGAAGGCACCTACCTTGGGAGGTTCAAATCCCATTGGTTAAGTCTGTGATGATGTTGGCCTTCACCAACTTGCGAAGAAACTCCTTTTCCTTTGAGATGTTGTGAGTCCAAGACTGTGGGGGAAACAAACAGCAGTGTCATTTCCTACTGAATGTGGCCGACTCTTCATGGGACAGTCTGTCCTTTTATTCTCATTATACCAAGCATGTTAGTCTTGGAACCAAGTTTTGAACTATTAGCATTCAATTTGGTGAATACAGCAACAAATTGATCGAAGCATCCATTCAAACATGAAGGGGCATATCACATCATTCACAGCTTGTCCATGACATTAAGATTGTGGATAAAACATGTTTTTCTTTAATCAAGGTTGATTTCATAGAAACTTATCGCTTCAACAGGAGCAAAAACCTTTGTTTCAAAACCTCATTACTCGTGGTCGGTCTACCTCGGATGGTTTAGACATTATAGCTGATAATCTACATCGAGAAATACTGTTGACCGGATGTTCTGTATTCATTTCAAATATCAACAATGTTCAGCAACGAATTTGAGAAATAACATACTGCGCCTTTAATAGGAATCAATATGTGCTTTATAGACCATTTTGCAAGATGTAAACAACACTGGTCCAGAAACACTTCCTGTTGCAGTTTGTAACTGTTTTCTTTATTTCACATGTAAAGAAAACATCTTAAAGATGTTTGTTTAACTTTTTGATTCAGTTTTATGTTCTGTTGGTTGTATTTTATTCAAGCTTTTATGTAGTGATAAAAAACAGAAACAGGAAGTGCTTCTGGACCAGTGTTGTTTACATCTTGCAAAATGGTCTTTAGATACTAATAACATATGATAAGCAATTAGTTAATAGTCAGAATTGGACCCTAAACTAAAGTGATACTGAAAAAAACATTCGCTAAGTGTTGATCAGTATTGTTTTTTTTTTTTTTTACAGATTTACAGGTTAGCGAAGGTCAGTATCAATAAATGATAAAAAGTTAGATTAATTCTTAGTTCCACAGCACATCCACCACTATCTTTTATTACAACAATAACAGAGCTCTGAATCACAGGAGAGGGACTGAGTGTGGTCTGGGATCAGAGAACTGGAGCTGTATTGACTCCTGTAAAAACCATCCTCCCTGGTTTTCCTTTAATATCCTATAGTTATTTAATGTGATTTTCAGATGTAGAACGCCACAGCAGAGGATCCACTGGCCTGGCAATGCTGGATGAAACCAGAGCTTTGGGTTCCTGTGAGAGGCTGTAGGTCGGAACGGGTGCGACCCAACAGCTGCCCCTGACAGGAGGTTCTGGGCCTGCTGGGGCCGTTACATCAGGCCAAAAGCCTCTCGTCAGAGTCTCTGACTGCTCAGCCCTTGTGACGGATCACGTTCACAAAAAACCCAGCAGATCCAGGAGTAAAGTTTCACTCTTCGAAAGAGAGAAAAGGGCACAGGCCAAAATGAATGCTTGTTTAAGAGTCTCCTCAGGCCGAAATGCCTCAGGGAGAGAGAATCTGAAACAATCTCTTCCTTATGCCTCAATACTTAAAGAAATAGCTCTCGGCATATGGGGTCGGTAGTATTTGTTGAAGTTATTGAAATAAGTCTCTTAAGGCCATTGCACACTGAGTCCGAAATTCGCATCCGAAATTTTCGCACGTAAAAAAAAAAAAAATTCGACCTCACGTTATGTCAATCTCGCTTGCACAAATCCATTTTGTATTTTTGCGTTTTTTCCCGCAAAGGTTTAATAAATACGCATCGGACTCAGTGTGCAAGGTTTCTGTGCGTGACGAATTTTTAGGGTGACGAACACGAAAAAACACATACGAAAATTTCGTACTCGGTGTGCAATGGCCTTTAGTCCAAATCCAAAGATTATCTGTGTATCCGATTAGAATCTGATGTAAAATGATTGACTGTCCACATTTGTGCTACGCAACTGTTCAGATTCGATTTATGTTTCCTATGCCACTCTTTAGTTTTCTGAAAAATCTGCACTGGTTTCTATAGCCCCTTTCACACAGAGATTACGGAAAATACACGGATAATGTGACCCGGCATTTGTCCAGGGATTGTTTGATTTCGGTTCATTCACACTGCCAGTGATTTGCCGGGATCTATGAGTGTGTTCACACACAACCCGTAAAGATCCTGGAAAGACGCATGACGTCAGGATTACTGACATTACATAGCACACAAGTCTTAAACCGTCAGAATACAGGCAGCAGGAAGTGAGTGAGTTCTGCATGAATGGTACCTGACTGTGATTTGACAATCACAAGTGCCAGAGCAGTCAGGAGCTAACTGTGCGTTAACAGCTCTGTTTTATGAGTGTGCTTTTACAGCCGTGGCAAATGTGGGCAAAAAGGAATTTTCAAAACATAACAACAAAGTTATCTACATATGGACTGATCAGAGAAAAAAAAAAGTAGCCCAGGACATTCTGCTAATGACATCATTGTGATTTTCCATAAAGTGAACGGATAAACAGACATTGTTTAAACAATGGTCTGAACTGAGCTCACAGTTCACTTTATAGAATGTTGTGTCTATGCATTAAAACATCTCCGTCCAAAAAAAAAAAAAAAAAAAAAAAAAAATCCACAGTACTGTTAGAAATGTTTCAATTTAGAAGTTAATTTGACATTTTGTTACCTCTTTTATGGCAGACATTTTGACTGTTTCGTAGTAGTGCAAGGGTGCATGAGGGGTGTTCATGTCATAGCCAAATCCAGCCACGGCGACCTCGTCGCAGTTATGTAGAGCCATCGTTATGGCGACAGTACCCAACGTTGGAATGTTCTATGGAAAAGAATGTAAGTTTAAACTGGTAACGTACAATAAAGCAGCATTTTTAAATTTCATCAAGCATGATACTAAGAAGATAATACGAATGTCCTTAACCACAATATAATATCTTGCGCCTGTTTTGCGAATAGTAATGACAAAACATTGATTCAAATGATATGTTAAACTAAATAAGAAACAAGAAAGTAAAATGTATTGCTCATATAATATTAAATGAAGTCCTATCATGCTTTGTTACATGATTCTGATTGGTCAAATGCTCCATTCAGCGGTATGTTATTCTCTGATAACAACCGGTAAAATCTGATAACACAGGCTCATCCGGGTTACTGAAGTTGGCGGACTCTGCACTTTATGCTTGCAAGTTTTTTCCTTGTGGAAATTTTGCTTAAAACTCAAATATTTTGAGTACAGCTATTTAATTACATCATCCGGTATTGCAGACTTACTCTCTCGTTTCATACAAACTGCCATTTTGAGAAAAAAAAAATTAAAAAAAAATAATAATACACTGTACACTGTAATGGATTATAAGAAAACAAACAGGTAAGATTTTAAAACAGTTCTCATCTCCATAATAATTTATGTGTTGAAATAATGTGTAATAAGTGGTATGACTGTATACCGTTTTGTGTTTAAAGAGCTAATAAAATACCTCATATCAATATTTAATGTCCAACTATTTACTTATGTGGAAAGTAGCTGTATAATGAGCGGGATAATGTACATCCAGCCGGTTGTCATCGCAGAATAAACCCTATCAGGGTAATGCAAGACCCCTTTCTGCTTTGTGTCGGGGTCCCGATCACTCTGCGAGAGTTTATTCTGCGATAACAATTGGCTGGATGTACGTTATTCCGTACAATTTAACATTTCAGGCATCGCTATCAATTTTACAGAGTTACATAAAAAACATAAAAGGAGGTTTTGTTAATGAATCAGTTAAAAAGACTCATGAACAGAAGGTATCAGTATGAATCACTCTAACAAATCATTCGAATCCATCAGAATGGTTAATGAAATAAAATTTGAAAACTGACTGGACATCTATATGGTATATGTGCAGAATAACTATGCTTGCTGTGCTGTATTTTAATCTATTTAACACCTCTGTCTATGGTCTGCTCTGGTCCAGTACTTTCTCAAGGTCTTGATGGCATACCACTTTTCCACCAACAAGAAGCAGGTGGTGGTTCAGAGCTAGAGCTAGTGCCGGTTCGGAGTTGGTTCGACTGACGAGCTTTCAAAAACCGGTTCACTACGGTTTCCACTACGCCATTGTATACATCTCATGTTGCCCAGCAACACTAGCGCGGCACACACAAACACACCAGGCTTGTTCGAGTTGGTTCGGCACTGGGAATCTTGAACTGCAAGAGCGATTCGAAAAAGATTCGATTCATATCAAGGAGTCATATGCTCTCCAAACACTCCCCCAACTCCGCCTCAGCCTCAACTAGTCTCAGCCTCAGACGTCACGCCCACGGAACGTTGGCTAAACGTCTGATGCATATGGTACACTTAACTGGAAACACTTCAGGAATGTCGAAGTCGTCATCTGATTGGTTGAATTTTATCGTTTTTCTGGGGGGCGTCAGTGTCGCGTTTATTTTCGGTCCGCCGGGAAACAAAGCGCAGATTTGTGATTGCGGAAAAAAAACTGTTGTGTTTATATGAGTGACAATGAGCATTAATCAAGATCAGCTAAACGTAGTTGTATGTCCCCTCCTATCTGTTATGGAAGATCAAGTGAAGTACTTAATTGCGAAGGGGATATCAGCCGCGTTTGTGGGCAAACATGAAACAACAGACGCTGACATCGCAGCTGGCCGATTCAGTATTCATATATAGGGCGCACACTGGATTATAAGGCGCATAAGATACTGCAGAGTCAAACGTTTCACTGGGTTTGCGTTATGCATCCACTAGATGTGCTAAACTAAAGGCTAAAGGGAATGTGGTGAGTGCGTGGCGCCGGAGGTGAGGCGTTTATTTAGTAGGCGTGAGCGCGCTGGGGCGAGGACGTAACTTACATTCGCAGCCTGACTCATGCGAGTATTCAATGTGCGGCAGCTCGCTGCCAGCTAACGTTACAGCTGGCTGTTTTGAATGAGACGAGCCGGTTACTGTGAACGGGGAGTGCTTTATGAACATAACTGTGACGCACGAGCAGCGCCGGGGACAGTGTGTCTGTTAAGAGTAAGCGCTCGTGAGCGGGCACGTGATTTACACACATAACCTGATTTATACGAGGTTGAACTGGCCGTGTGACAAAGCGAGTTCGTGGGTGAATTTAATAACGCGGAGCATTGTTAACGAGCACCTCCGGTGACTGCTGCTGACTGCTGACTGACTTGTTGCACGCCGGTCTGTTGTTGAGGGGACATTTACACGCCCCGAAACGTGACGCTGACTGAAACGAACTGTAATTGGTTGTTTGACATGTCGGTCAAACGGCCTTATTGGCGGGCCTTGGCCAAAGAAAGCTGCTATGAATTCCAGACCTTCAGCCGTCAGTCTGAAGGTCTGGCTACGCGAGACTACCCCGCCCCCAGCCGCTGACGTGAGTGGTTCTTACGTCTAGACCAGCAATGATTTGGTGCTACTTTTTTCCACTTTTACTGGTTCGGAGCTGGTGCTTTGGTGGTCGAAAAACAAAGAACTGATTTGAAACTAGGCTCTGAACCAGCACCAGCTCTGCCTTGGTGGAAATGGGGTAATTGTGCCAGAAGAAGTTCTGGCTTAGTTCTGGTCTGCAGTTGTTAACTCATCTTGAGCTTCGTGTGATTAACAATTTGCTTAAACAGACCCCCACCCTTGACACACCAATTTCAGGAGGCAGACCTTCACTTCCTCATATCCCTGGGGAAGTCAACCATTCTAAATCATTAGCTTACAGTGGCCTGGGGTCTGGTTCACAAACACACACACACACACACGATTAGTATTAAGATCGTGTCAGTGTATGCAGCCTTAAGCAGGTGGGTGTTTGGAGTGCTCAAGAGGGGGAGGCTGTGTCAAAATGTATCCCACCTTGATCAGTACCGTATGGGACAGCTTCCCTTCTGCGCTGCCCCCCTACCTTCACAAACCTTAGGGGCCTGGGCTCTGCTGCATGTGCACTGCACATGTTCCACCATTGAGAGCAGGTTTGAGTTTTCAGGAGGTGGCCAAGCTCACACACAAGGCCTTGTCTGTACTCATGCCATGATGGGATGGCTGAGAGCTTCATCAAGCTATGATGCTAATGGCATTTATCTACTTTCTCAAGTATAATTTCCTGGGACTGAAAGTAAAGCGTGTTGTTAATGAGCTCTTAGTAGGCAAGTACTCGTTGTTACGGTCCATGTTTGAGATCTTAGGCATGTCATACACACTTCTTTTTTTTGACAGTGCTGATTCCAAGTACACCCCTTGGGCTACTGCACACCCAACACCCATGTCTCAATAAAATATGTTTGCTAATGGGGTGGGGTGTTCTAACAGCATTCACGACAAATTTTTATAGTTGAATTTAGCAAGTCAAATTATATGCAGTTGTGGTCAGAATTATTGGCACCCCTGGTAAATATGATCAAAGATCCTTCAGATCTTTTTTTTTTTTCTTTTTTTTTCTTTTTTACAAAAATCCAACCTTTCATTGAAGTAAACAAATTGAGAGTGGGGGAGAGTGAAATAAATGATTTTTTTTCCAAAACATGTTGTACATTATAATTGGCAGCCTTTAATTAAATACTTTTTTCAACCTCCTTTTGCCAAGAAAACAGCTCTGAGTCTTCTCCTATAATGCCTGATGAGTTTGGAGAACATCTGACAAAAGATCAGAGACCATTCCTCTCCAGATCCTTCAGATTCCTAGATCCATGTTGGCGCTTCTTCTCTTCAGTTCAGCCCACTCATTTTCTATAGGGTTCAGGTCAGGGGAATGGGATGGCCATGGCATAAGCTTAATTTTATGCTCAGTGACACATTTTTCTGTTGATTTTGATTTTTGCTCTGGATCGTCATCCTGATGGAAAATCCAACCAGGGCCCATGATAAGATTTCTAGCACAGATTTTTTATCTGTTGGTATATTGCTAATCCATGATACCATGTATCTCCAGCAAAATGAAATAGGCCCACAACATTAAAGATCCAGCAGAGTATTTAACTGTGGGTTACTTTAGTGTGTACCAATTTAGTGTGTTTGCTGCCAAAAAGCTCTTTTTTTATTTTCATCTGATCTTAGAACCAGGTCCCTTTTGAAGTTCCAGTCGTGTCTGAGAACTGAATATGCTGGAATTGGTTTTCGGATGTGCAAGGATGATTTTTCTTGAAACCCTCCCAAACAACATATGATGTACTTTAGGTGCTGTTTTTTTAAAGGGATACTCCACTTTTTTTGGAAATAGGCTTATTTTACATCTCCCCCAGAGTTAAACAGTTGAGTTTTACCGTTTTCGAATCCATTCAGCTAATTTTCTGATATTTAGAAGAATTTCAGTAACCAGACAGTTTCTGGTCTCAATGACTTCCATAGTATATATATTTTCCTACTATGGAAGTCAATGAGACCAGAAACTGTCTGGTTACTGATATTCTTCTAAATATCAGAAAATCGACTGAATGCATTCGAAAACGATAAAACTCAACTGTTTAACTCTAGGGGAGTTGTAAAATGAGCCTATTTCCAAAAAAAAAAATGAGTATCTATCCCTTTAAGGCTTTCTGACCCCAAGACTCAACTAATCACTGCAATTCTCCAGCTGTGATCCTTGGAGAGTCTTTGGCCACTCAAACAATTGTCTTTGGCCACTCCTCCTCACCGTGCATTAGGACGATATAGACACATGTCCTCTTCTAGGCAGATTTGTAATATCTTTGGTTGATTGGAACTTTCTAATTATTGGCCTGATGGTAGAAATGGAAATTTTCAATACTTTAGCTATTTTATTGCTTTTCTTACTACTTTCTATTTTGTGAAGCTCAACAATCTTTTGCTGCACATACAAACTATATTCTTTGGTTTTACTCATTGTGATGGATGATTAATGGAATATGGGCTTTGTGTTTCCTAATATTTATACTCCTGAGAAACAAATCGTCAGATCTAGGCAATTTCATGTTCCTAGTCACCCTGGTGTGCTAAAAAAAAATGTACATATTAATTGGGAATATACTTCAGAGATATTTTACTCATTAAAAATTCTAATTGTGGATAATGTCTTTTAGAGAGAAAAATATTTCAGAATGTGATTTTCCCCACACTTTTGCTTCAGTGAAAGGCTGGATTTTTGAGCTTATTTTGCATGAAAGATCAAAATAAACAATTCAGATTTATATTTACAGCCATCTTTAATCATTTATACTAAAGGTGGCAAGAAGTCTGACCACAACTGTATAATGTTGCCACCAATGAAATTGAATTCCAGTTGTTTGTAATTATTGGATAAGGATAATCTGCAAGTCTGCATTTAGTTTGCTACCTCAATTGTGATTCATACTTTTTCGTCATTTAACATAACAATTTTTTAATGTTAAGCACTGGATAACACGGTTTTAAACATAGCTTTGTCCAGGTTTGAGCAAAATAAATGGCATTATCTCTCCCCACCCATTGGTTTAGTTAAGCTGCCTTTGACCTATGATGATCTTTATAATAATTACAGGCTAATTGAGGAAACACATGTCTAAGGCTTCCTGTGACCCCTATTAACGTAAAATTGACTAAAGGAATTGCCTGCCATTTTGGTTCAATAAACTCGAGCAGTCCAACAGTCACATTCTCTTGTATTCAACGCGTTTAATGTAAACAATGTTATGAAAAGTTCTGAAACTTAATGAGCATGTTGCTTACCCCTTTACCCATGAGGCCATTGTTCTGTGGAAGGCCAATAAACTGGAAAGAAGCTTCTTGTATGAAGAAGGGATTGAGGATCCGTATCTCAGAGGGATCCCGGGGCACATAGTGCGCTACAGACTTCCAGAAGCCCTCTGTTCCCTGCTAAAGAAAAAAAAAAAAAACAAGAGAGAGAGATTATGATATGGTCAAATGAGACAGAACATCCTAGTTTGATCACCAAATGCATCATGAAAAATGTATGGAACATTTTTGTTTCATCTTTCAGAAGAAGTGAAGAAATCATCTCTTCCATAATCATGAGTTCAGGCACAAAGCCTATAAGGTGCCATCACTGCATACTGATGGCTTACGAGTAGACGGTTTTCATTAAAAGTGAAGCAAGCCGCCCAGGCTGGGCGAGCCCACAGGAAGTGGACAAATGAAATCCTGACCTCCACGAGCGTTCGGTGAGCAACGGCCCCCAGCTTCTCCCATAACAATTACTCAGGAGACCTGCAGAGTGCCATGGCTCAGCAATTATTAAATCTGCGACCTGGCACTGTGATCATCAGGCATTAGAGTTCTGACAAGACGAGCTCTCCGAAGCCACGGCAGCTCTGCTGGCAAACAGCCAGCCAGGTCATCGGACTTAATGGGAGTCACCTGTTCAAATAAGCAGACTGCCTTTGATATAGCCCAACAATAGGAGCAGCTATTGAGCCGAACGAACGGCTTTGAAGCCGTTTTGGAGGCCCCGCGCCCACAACAAGCCATGGCAAGAAAACATCAACTCTTCTGTCAACAGTACGTTTTTGATGAACAGAAGCAGAAATTCTGGGGAATGACGAAACCACAAGCAGGTGTAAACAGGGGAAAACTCGACAACAACAATAAAATCATGAACAGGCGCATATCTACGAAACCACCGACATTCAGAGTAACGTACAAACAGAACATGTATTGCCAGGCTGAACTATGCCTCCATCCAGAATGTAATAGTATCCGAAACAGAGTATGAGCGAATACGTGGGAAATGTGCTGGCATCCGACGCCAGTAGTGTTTGGTATACGAGTGATAGGTTGTTTGAAGAAGAAATAAAACAGGAAGTCCCTGATTGATTCTTTTAAAATCACTTAGCACGAGTGAGGATGTCTCTGTAAGCTTTGACATTCCTTCCACTGGATCGGGCATCCAACAAATATGGTGAGATAGTTTCCTTCTCGCAAGAGTTACTCCTGTGACTTACATAACCAACATGCTATGGAAAAAAAAAAGAGAATACTCGTACAACGGTACATAAAAACATTAAAACTAGGATAAATCTTTCATCAAAATTATTGTGTCTACAGAAGCTTAGGTACAGCTTACTATAAATCCTTTCAAACTACCCTGAACACTGTATTGTTCTGCTTGTCTATTCATTCGCTATTCATATATTCATTAAATAGTGCTGCCAGCACTAATATTCTCAGCTAGGCGTATTGAGGAATGTGACTTTTATAAGCAGTTTTTAAACGTGCCAGGCAAACGCTCTTGTGTTCAGTGGGACAATAAAACATGAAATGTTTACTAGACATACAGTGGCTTGAAGAACAACGGTTAGCCAATTAAACGACTGCCGTTGTCGCAGCTAAATTTCAAGAACAATATCAAAACAAAAAACCCTCAATGCATTTCACATTATTTTATAATAGTTAAAGCGATAATGAGTAAGTAGTGCTAAGCAGAAAAAAAAATATAAGTAATGCTATTTAAATTTATGTACTCATACAGTATCTGTATAGTTGGAGAAAGTACTGGGAAACATCAACTAAAAATACAACGTGCATAGTAAGATTTAATCAAAGCATTTGAAAAAGACCAACCCAAGAGTTCGTCTAGAACAAGACTAGTTAAACAGGTTAAATAAAAGATGTGGTGTTATGTGAATGGTGTTAGCCTTTATATAAACCAGGATTTTTTTTATTTTGTTTGAAATACATTTTAAAGTACATTTAAATGAAAACAGTTATTTTAAATTGTAATATTTCACAATATTACTGTTTCTACTGTTTTACTATTAAATAAATGCAGCTTTGGAGTGCAGACGAGACTTTCTTTTTTTCTTAAAAAAAAAAAAAAAAAAAACCAACAAAAAAAAAACTTCTTAGGCCGTCCATAGCGTTTTTAGCCAACTGAAAACAGCAGACGCTCTGCTGGGCGCTTGAAAACGTTTTGGCTGCGCAGCGTCTTTTCTGTTGAGACATTTCGTTGCTATGATACAGAATATCCGCAGCACAGTTTACTTGTAACTGATTTCGCAGATAATTTGTTTCATACTACAAAATTATTTTTGTTACCCCTAAATTATTGTTGTTCGGTTAGCTCTGTTGGTTGATGTCGTTGTACAGAAAGAATGTTTTGACAGTTGGTCGGTGTGGTTTAGTCCCGCCCCTCCTCCACTGTGATTGGACGGGTGGGCAAAAAGTGACAGTCATGAGCGCTGCGTTTTATCCAAAGTTGAACATTTTTCAACTCTCGGCAACCAGTAAAAAAAGGCTTCAGCGTGAAAAAAAAAAAACGCTCAGAGCCTCGTTACGCTCATGGCGTTTAAAAAACGCGGCGCTCCTATTGAAAACAATTGAAAACTTACGCCAGGTGCGTGAAAAACCGCTTTGGTGGACACACGTCCTTACAGACCCCAAACATTTGAACTATAAAGTACCTCGAGTGCAAAGACATTTTGGATAAGAGTATAAATGCAACTCATTGATAATAAAAAAATTGATTTTTTTTTACACAAACATATCGCTTCGCTTCAGAAGGCCTTTATTATCCCCCAGAGCCATGTGGAGCACTTTTATGATGGATAGATGCACTTTAATGGACTTTAAAACCGAAACAGCCATTCACTGCCACTATAAAGCATGGAAGAGCCAGGACATTTTTTTATATATATGAAGAGTTCAGATGCAAAAGCCTCTAAATGCCATTTGAAATTTTCTTCTTTAATGATGATTTTTATCAAACTTGTATATTTAAGTTCAGTAATTTCACTTAAATAACAATTAATAGGTAATTATCATTGCTATTTAAGTGAAATCACTGAACTTAAATATACAAGCTTGATAAAAATGATCATTCTACAAGAAAATTTCAAATGGCACTTAGAGGCTTTTGCATCTGAACTCTTCATATATAACTCCGATTGTATTCGTCTGAAAGAAGAAAGTCATATATACCTAGGATGACTTGAGGGTGAGTAAATCATGGGGTCATTTAAAATTGTTTGGGTGAACTATCCCATTAAAGACTGTGTTTATACCTTATCTTCCTCATCGTGTGTCTTCTTGCAATACGGCGTGACACCATTATTGTGGAATGCCTGTAAAATTTGAAAAATTTGCCGTGTCTCGACTTTCTTATTGCCAACTGTTTTCAAAAGGACTGCACCGGTCTGATTCTGGTTTGCATTACAATCCCACCAAAGCTAGACAAGGTCATTCTAAACATAGCTCCAATTGTTGACATCATCTGCATTGGTTCCGCCTGGCTTTACTCCAGACCTCTCATTGGCATTCCAGGGAATCGCAGCCAGGAGTGCAGAGAAAGAAAAAGTGAGTGAGATACCCTGATTGATCACCTCTCCAAACCCTCAAAACCACAAGTGGTCTGCACTGCAGGAACTTTAACAACCGCCACACTCTCGTCAAACAGGACAGCCCTTGTAACTGATCTATCCAATAAAGCAGCAGGTGAAAGAGGCCTCTCAATTCCCAAACGCAGCTCCAGCACGCCCTTAACAAGCTTCCAGCATGGCCGCCGAGTGTTAAATCACTCCATAAAAATCACAGACCACATCGCCGACCTCTCTCTCCGTCAGCCGCTGGAAACGAGAGGTCAGGGTGAACATTCAGCGGTGGCTGGGAAAACCTGTTCCTTACTGCAGATGTGCGGTGAGAAAAATCTTCCCAGGAACACTAGTGGAGGATTAACCAAAAAAAAAAAAAAAGAAAAAAATGTGGCATTGATGAAACCAGGAGTGGAGAGCCTGAAATTCTGTTACAGCATTTAACTAATATATCTAGATCAGGTTTTCCTATTTTATGACAAGCCATGATGAAACGGACATAGCTAGATATCTTTTTGCCCGTATTGTGACGAGTGTTGGGCATGTTCCCTAAAAAAAGTAATTAGTTACTTCTCACAAATAGTAACTGAGTTAGTAAGTGAGTTAGTAAGTGAGTTAAATCATTATAAAAGTAACTAATTACCAGGGAAAGTAACTGCGTTACTTAAAAAAAAATGTTAAAAAATGTCAAATAACTTGGAGGCCCCCAAATATTAAATATGTTAAATGAGCGATATGGACACAAAATAGAATAAATTATTATTATAAAACATTGCACACTAATCTAGACTATTTTAATGTTGCTGCGGGACAATGTGAGAGACATAGGCTTCAGATTGAGAGTGACTCTTGAAGGAACAGCACCACATCCTCTTGTAGCACTGTTCATTTTTCATTTTTAGTTAATCTCTGCAAAACAGACTTCAGGGTAAGAGATAGTCTAAAAATTAACTTAAATTGAACTCCCAAAACTTACTGTCAGGTTCTGGAAGATGAATTCTTCAAACAGTGCTATAAGAGGATGTGGTTGTGGTTTTGTCTGACTCTGACCTGCTGACCCAATGAGCATTTCAATGTCCAATAGTCATGCCTTAACTGCAATTTCTACTATTGCATCCTTCTCATAATTTTGAGTTAAATCTCTTTTTGGCTTATTTTATCTGTGAAAGAAAGCATGCCTAATAATTATGAACACCTGAATACAAGGCGTTTTCATTTCCAACCTTCATGAACAATTATATATAAGTCTAAAAAAAAAATGATGCTTCTTAATAAATGTACCAAAAATTAATAATAAAAAAATATATATACAAACACAGTGCAAATTAAAATGACAAAACTGTCACAGCTTCAGAACTGGTAGACATTATGTAGCCTACTTGAAGTATTTTCACCATTTCATTAATAATTACAAGTAATAATAATAAAAAGAAACCTATGCATGGAAGATATGTTCACAATAACGATGTAGAAAACTAAATTCTCATTTCACACTGACGTGCCTAAAAAAGCTTGTCAAAAGATTAAAAATGTAGATCTCATGATTGGTTT